CCCCCCCCCCCCCCCCCCCCCCCCCGGTGGGTTCAACTCCCCCCTGGGACGCCTCTGGGACACCTCTCGGGCACCTCTTATGGCATCTACTTTGGTTTAACTCCTCCGGGATACGGTGCAACAGATTCAACAAGCTCACAGGTTCGTAAACACATCGGATGCATCGAATAGTGTGGCAAAGTCCAGCCACGCTTCCTTAATTATCGGGGACTTCAATTCTAAGGTTGGCTGTGTCATTGCTGTTTGTGTGTCTTACATGTTCACAACGTTTTACTTCATGAGCATTTGCCTCAATCCGCTTGATGTCCCACCAGTCCGGATGCACCCCTGCTAGCTTTCGTCACCTACCCTCGGCCTCAAGTAAAGCTAGACTCTTCCACTCTTGGGTGGCTGAATTATCTGATTATATATCTATGATTGGATTTTTTGCTGTGGCCCATGTTCACCCCACCGTATTCACCGAAGATAAGTTTCCTGTAGCCCAAAGTCCCAGTCTTTCCTGCTCACAGGCAATGCTTCCACTGGCTCCCGCAGCAAGGGCTCGCGGACAAGCTGTGCCACTGACCGGCGGAAGCAGTCGAAGCAGCGCGCCCGGAGCAACTCCAAGCTGTCCGCGAGTGCGCGAGGCTGCTCACTGCCGGGACCAGTGGTGCGAAGCTCCTTCATCTTGGCAGAGCCCAAGATGCCGCTCGACCAATTTGGACGGAAATTTCACTGCAAGATGCCCGAGGGTCAGGGCAAAGTGCAATTGAAGTGCTACTAAACAATCCACACAATCCAGTCCCAGACCTTGCACGTGTGACTTCGAGCGTGGTGGCGATGACCACACGACGTGGAGTTTCGGTGAGTTGACATGTTTTGAAGCACGGAGAGAGGCCCCAAGACTAGACTTAGAATCCAGGGGATCTCGTCTATTTGGTAGGTTCGTTTGCCCTCTCACTTGAGTGGATCACCAACAGTGGGTCTTCTTACATATGCCGTATGCCGAGGTAGACTTCAGCCAGGGATAGGTCACACAATTACGACCCTCATGATCCCTCTTGACATAAACAGCAAGATGGATCCAAATGGCTCTCGAATGAACACAGACTTTAGACCATGCTCGACTAGTACTAGTTATGGTCGTGACAGCCGGGTGAAGCAGTGTCCCCCCAAATGTTGGACATCTCCTGCGTCGGGCAGGATTCAGGTAGGGATGATCGGCAAAGTCTTGACTTGTGCTGCAGGGCATCCTCCCGGAGGACCGTCTCAGTGATTCAACCTGTCCAGTCTCCCACAGTGCGTTCAAATTAACCTGGTGGTCTCACTAGTGTCTTGCCAGGAGCTGACACAGTAACCCCACCACTTTATATACACTTGACAGCAGCCTTGGAGAAAGAGGTGGACAGCTCGAAGCACGGTAATTCTTGAATAATATACATATATATATATATGTATATGTATGTAATTATGTTTGAACATTTTTTGATCATCAACCCCTGATCCACTATACCCTGCACATGCACTAGCACAGCTATATGCAGCCGCTGGTCACAGGCAAGCTCTTCAGATGTTTGTGCGAAAGGCACTGGAGCCATCCAAGGAGCCCACTTTCGATGAGACAGCACCTTGGCCAGCAGGTTGCTTCGAGCCACGAGCTGATCAATGCTGATCAGCACGGAGCTGATCCGTGTGTTTTCCGAGCCTCAGCATGGGCCATCGGGCCATAGGATCACCTTTGATTGAATATCTTGAATGACCTGTGAAAATGAGGACGTGCCTTTAAATTTGGAATATTCAAAATAGGAATGGCCTCCGACCTACTAGCGATGGCCTCCAAGCTGAAAGCGATGGCCTCCAACCTAATTACATGACTTGTTTATCAAATGGACATGCTGAGATTGATGGTTTGCCTGGGGCTGAATCATGATATGAGGTGTGACTTGGACATGCATCCAGCGAGATGCCTGTGACACTACTGCACGTCCAAAAGGAATTCTTTGCAGCATCCGTCAGCCAAACAACCCCACCTTTGGATACCTTTGGTACCGTATGAGATTGCTGTTTCTGATTTAGGTTTCACAACTTAATTTGGGAAACCTTCAGGGCATAGGCCCTCAGATTTTTAAACTTTTAAGGCCAGGTTCCAGGATTGATAGACGCGGCGTTGGTGCTCATTTAGCATGTGAACGCGAATCCATATTTACAATCATTTCAGAGGTACTGTATATCATGTGCTTAAACTTGGAGGCATGCATAGATCGATTCTCCTACATGTCTAAGTCCAAAAAGGGACCCATATATCTATATGTATACTGTTTGTAGATCTCAGCCGCTTCCGCAGTGGGGGAAGCAAGAAATGCTCCAATCTTCCACCACCGGCAATGACTATGTATATATATGTATATATATATATATGTGTGTGTGTGTGTGTGTGAGACTCTATAGTGAATAAGGCACATGAAACAGCTTTTGTGCTCCCCAATTGTCCCAAACAGAGTCACTTTCCATCAAAGCATTACCAACACAAGCAAGATCCACTAAGTCCAACTATCAGGGCCGTGAACCCCTTGACATGCCATGGCGAGCAGAGGCTCCAGAGTTGCTGGCAAAGGGGATTGTAGCCCGACAGCTGCGTTTTGGGTGGATCATCCCCAATTCTGCCGTGGCTCACCCCGGGTTGATCACCTCAATGGCACCATCCTTCCACGCAGACATCTCCGAGGAGAGCATGATGGAGAGCTTTGGGGATATCGATCAGAGCCCCTCACGCTCGGACTGGGAGTCCTTTGATGCCTCACCTCTTTGCCGAATGACCTCCAAGGATAGCCGAAGGACTGGACAGATCATGGCTCTATGACTCTATGTGTCAGAAAGTCTGGAACATACTCATCATGAATCCCATTTGTTGGATGCATATACCAACATCCATCCCTCGATCACGTGGGGGCCGATTTTTGAAGATAATTATTAGTTGTGTAAATATTCTATTTGACACCGATCAATTTCAATAGAGGTGATTCGAGGGGCCCTTTCAATTACAAAGTGTGCATCAGCAATCAACGGCTGCAAAACATCAAAACACCCACTCGCCCCAGCCAATCTTGGATCAAGAGAGAGCAGAGGGAAGAGAGGATAGGGAACCCACTCGCGCCGTTCTTCTATTTAAAACCGCAAATCTGGGCACCGGCCACCGGACGATGTTTACCCGTCCATTTTCTTATGTGTGTTTTTTAAATGTTATTTTAATTCTTTTGACACTTTACTTAGCTCCCTTACTAGACCGTCACCTTCTATTTGATTTTGTATTCGTGTCCTCAGTTTCTTGTTTGAAGGATGCATATCTATATATATTTATATATATACATACACATACACATACGAAACTAACAACGTCCTGCTGTTTTTATTGCCGGATTGCCTGGAAATATGGTCATCCCATGACATCAAGACCGCTCTAACCCAAACCTTAACAGCCCTGGACACCTGGCAATAGTGGAACTTCACAAATGCCTTGGAGCACCAACATGTATTTGCAGAGGGTTCTTGCTCCTTTTCTTCAATGTTTCTCTCCTTTCCCTTCCTGCCTTTCACATCCTTCGATTTCTTGGGTCGGTTTGCAATGCCGGGAGCCCAGCAATATCAGTTTTTGTCACAGATTGCTATCCAGCTCGCCTGGAGTTCCGCAGCTTTGATCCTTTTTGTCCGGATACGTTACGTTGTCATAAGAAAGGGATGACATTCTTGAAACCGGTGGTGAGTTCCCGGAGCCTGCAGAACCCCGGCCAACACATGGCAGGATGTCTGCCTCGAGTCGGCGTATGTCAGCGCTCACGAAGACTGCCAGCTTTTGGGCTGAAGAGGAGGGTCGAAGCTACGCTGGCTCAGCTGGGGTGACTGCTAGGCCCTAGGCTTCGCTAGGCTCAGCAGGCATTAGTTGTTTTGAATGGGCGTTTTTCGTTGGAATGTCCTTGAGGCGACTTCCTTCCTTTTGACTCGCCTCGATCCAACTAATAGCATAGAACCCACAAGGGGAGGCGTCCTTTTTATGCATGCTCCCATTGCCTTTTTTTGCCCGCAATCCATGTTCGTGTCAGAAGGCACGCAACTTTCCTTTGCAGCGGCCCAGTGTCATCACGTGTTTTCATTTGTGTTCAATATTCGCTGCCGTGGGTTCATTTGTGTCCCACTGAGGTAGCCGTCGGACCTCAGCCACCTCAACACGGCGGCAGTCCACAGAGACAGATGTCTCAAACCCATCTGGTCGATGCTTGGTGGATGGCGGTTTGAATGACAAGTTCCAAGTTTTATCCAAGCGTGGGGTCCCTGAAAAGAGTCTTCCACAGAGCGCCATCCAGGTATGGATGAAGTGGGGGTGGTTCAAGCATGTTCAATCTTGAGGAGCTTGAGGCGTTGAACCTCGCTCTTAGGTTGGAGGCCATCGCTATTAGGTTCCTTAAAAGTATTTAGAGTCTTCTTCTTAAGGCCACAGCCCAAGGGTTCAGGTAGCGAGCTGGATTTGATGGGCGGCGCAGAGCAACCTCAGAGGACCGACTGCGGTGAGTAACTGGCCGGTGCGGCTTGTAGGGAATAGGGGAATGGCCCCTCACCATAGATATTATTGGATCATTTATGATGCATTCCTTACTGAGCCTTACTCAGCATGGTCAGGTAAAGGACTTGATTTTGGGGGGCAAATCAATTCATTTGGGTTTGGTTTGGTCAATTCACTTCATTCATAGGATCCACAAGGCCCTTCTTCATATCCTTCACGTGGATCCCTGTGGGGGGGGTGCGTCGAAGGGTCGGGCCGACGATCCTCGGTTCTTCCTTCCACTTTGGGTCTTTTCCACTGCTGTACACTCTTGGGATGTGTTGTGGCTGACTGATCGTCTTAACATCTTGCAGAATGCGTGAAAATAAGTATAAAGTAGTACTGTACTTAGACTATACCAGTTTGCATTTGCCCTCAGCAACGCGTAGTGAACCACAGATGTATCATGATGGTGCCATGATGCATCAAGTGGAGAGCATTCTGGACCCGCTCAGCACACCCAAGTACAAATGGCCATGCCATTTGCAATCCTGTGAACGGGACGTGTGTGCGAACCCACGGAAATGATTGGAGAGCTCAGGACTGACATTTCAGAAGCCCACCCAGGACACTGCCAGCAATTTGGTTTGCACTAGCCCACAGACTAACATATAGCTCCTGAGTCGCCTACACAACTTGAAGAAATTGAAGGACGCTTGACACATGGTATCCACCTTGCCGACAGGGTTGCCGACTGCTAGGGAACATGGGCATAAAAAGGCGGACAAGCTGTGTTTCAAGCACAAGCCTATAGATAGACATGTTAATGTACATACACTGTATACATTTGTATGTAAATAAATATATGATATATTTTATTCCTTTAATATGTGTACATATTTATATAAATTTTCCCGAACAACCAGCTGAGGAGCAGGCGGGCTAGGTCAAAGACAAATTAGGTTGGGAAGGCAGCCAATGCAGAATGAGCTTGGGAATCCAACTGAATCCAACTTCTTTTGGGAATATGTCAACCATTACACCCGTAATGGGAAGAATATGACAGAATGCTTGAAAGCGCGAATGTTTGTGTGCGTGGAATCGTTCTATGCAGTAATGTAACGAGACATGATAAGAAATGGAATGTATGCAGTAATTATGGGTAGATGTGATATTGATGGATTGATTAATTCGGCAATTTGGTTGATTGATGATGGATTGACGGATTGGTTATGTGCTTACGTTTGCGGTCATGGACAATTGAAGGTTGCATTGAGGACTGATGGATGGGAACCGGATAAATAAGCAGTGTATGCAGATGTATGTAGACAATTTGCCATTGGTCTTGTTCTCAAACATATTTGCACACAGATGCTGACCTAAAATCACACAACAAAGTGCTGCATGCGTTTGCAGAAAACCAACATGTTATGTTTATCTAATGTTCTTCGAGCACACTTCGCAACGACAAAGTACCTTGGCCTCCTGCACCATAGGCATCAAGCTAGCACGCCGGGCCTCCATTTTGCAAGCGCGCTCCGATGAGACGAGCCGCACCGTGATGGTCCAAAAGGTGGAGGAAGCGGTGAAGGAGCTTGCTGAAGCTGCCCCTTGGTTTGATGCAGAGGGGCTTGCAAGGAGGATGCAGGAGGGACAGGGCCCGGTCCGGGCGTTTTTCTGGTTGCAGCTGGCCGAAATGGCTGCTGGCCGGTGGCCAACTTGCCAAATTTGGCTGTTGGTCTATTTGGGAGGCATGGTGCACATAGTTCTGGGATGTTCCGGGGGCTTTCCCTTTTGAGATGACAGATGTGGCAAGTTGAAACATGGAGCAAGAGCAACGTTGAGGATGGTAGGGGTGATCCAGACCTGGCAGGGGTGCTTTGGGTGCTCGCATTGCCCCCAAATGTTTGGAGGGATGTCCCCGAAAACGACTGCAGGTCTTTGGTGTCCGTCCAGGATGTCCAGGTCTCAGTTGCCCCGCGCAGGCGCAGCAGCCACATCCCTATGCCAAGCGAGAGGTCCAGATGCCGAAGCCCAAGACGGACTCAAAGGACCGGATGGTGGGATGTTCACGGCCTTTCATGGCGGCGTTTCAAAGCCGGGAGGTCTTGTTGCCCTCCGTAAGCCAGATTACTCATACGATCTTATACGGTGTTTCTGCATTCAACTGAAAATATCGGCAAGCTGGGGCCCAGAGACTTGTGAACGAAGTGACAGATTTGGGGATTCAGATATTTCGATGGCGTCTTGTCAGAAGGGCAATCCTTACCACTTATCATTTCATTGTATAAGTGTACACTAGACAGTAATAAGCTTTGCACTGCACCAACTTGTCCATAAGTTTGTCAGTCTGATTCCGTCAAATTCAGATGCTTGTTATATAACTGTCTTTATTCAGCGGTCCAGGTGTATTTAAGGTCAGGGTCAGGGTTAGGTTCGCTGAGGTTGGCGGAGGCGACAAACCACACAACCATCACACACACACACACAAAAAAACAAAACATAGGCTAACAAAGGGTTGCATCACTTCCTGCCGTTGCCTTGGACAGGAGTTTTTGTAAACATACAGACATGAAAAGGACCTGAGCTGCAAGCATAAATTCAGGGGGTGAACTTAAGGAAGAATAACACACCAAACGGAAATCAAAGCAAAAGCCATTAGCTGCAAGCCGCAAAAACTCAAATTCAGGGGTGGTGGCGAATTTAAAGAATGACACAACAAAGTTGACTAAGAACTTATGTTAATTCCTGGGAAGTGGATTGGGGAGGGTGAATGTAAGAATGGAAATGCCGAAGATCGAAGCGGTTGGGACGTGCTTCATGGGGAAATAGGCGTGCTGTTGGACATAGAATTGTTGCAAAACAGCAAACACACCAACATGAAAAAGGCCTGAGCCACAAGCCTCAATAGCATCAATTCACAAAGGAACACCACAACACACAACCAACAATATCAACAATTAAAGAAACAACTCACCAGCCGCAAGCCCAAACCTTTAAATTCAGGGGGGGTGAATTTAAGGAACGACACAACTAAAAAATATGCGAAAAAAACCTTAGCCGCAAGCCCAAAAGCTTAAATTGAGGGGTGGTGAATTTAAGGAACGGCGCCGCAACAAAAAACATAAAAAACTGAAGCAAAAAACATTGAAGTGGAAAACCACCTGTTTGTAGTGGAGAATGGTCTTCCAAGGGGGCCATTCTCCACTTCCATGTTCGTTCCAGGGAGTGTAGTAGTATAGACCCTATAGGATAGAGGTTTTTGGCATGGCTCGTTGGGATTGCAAGAGGGTTCCTTTTCTTCGGCTCTTGTCCTACTGCAATCAGGACTCCACCCTGCGTAGCTACTTCTCCCCTGGCTATGCGGAGCTTTGTTCAAGCGAAGAGCGGCACGAGCTACGGCGGTTCTATGACACCGAGCCGGTCGCTGGGAGAGGAAGATGGAGTAAGTCCCCGAGGGCATTAAACTAAATAGGAATGGCCTCCACCCTAATAGCAATGGCCTCCATCCTAAGAGCGAGGGCCTATAATGAATAGTAATAGAAGTGATGCCCAATGTATGTGAAGGTTTGGGAGGCTCGCTGTTGATTGGAAGGGTCCTGCAGGACAGCTAGTATCAAGTGACAAAGTGTCGAGAGCCTAGCCTGTGGGTGCATAAATTCGGTCACTTACTGCGCAATTGAATACGAAGCTGGCGACACAACAGGGGGTAGCAGAATCCTAGATCTTCCAAAGCAGAGTGGTGGTTTGGGCCCGCTGCATGGTATGGTATGGTAGATTCTTGGATTATGCTGAAGGAAACAGGCCAATGAGATGCCAGATTTGGAGATACAAGGGGCAATATGCTGAGTGTTGACCACAATCCCTGGGTCAAGATGCTCAAGCTTGTCACCAAGGGTTGAAGATGTTTCACGGAGGAAGGCCGCCACTGAGCACCACTCTTGCAAAGCAATATGGAGCCCACTCCGGGGCGAGTATCAGAACGCTATTAGGTGGAGGCCATCCCAAGTAGGTTGGAGGCCATCGCAACAAGAAGCTACTGGTTCTTTTAAAGGAATTCTACAGCTACTAGGAGCAAGGACGCTACTAGGGGCTCCTGGCCTTATTACTATGAACAAGGACGCTACTAGGAATAGGGTCGCCCGAAACCGAGGCGCAGCAGCACTTCCTGAATCGAGCTGGCCATTCACTGCAGAGGCTTTTCATCGACTTCGACTTGGCCAAAAACTCAGGAGAGTCAGAGCAACCGTTGGCATGGGAACTGATTCTGTAGACCACATGCCGTTGAAAGAGACGAATCAACCAGGCTTCTAGAGGAAGCCACGCTACGGGATCCCAGTGTCCTAATGTGTCTTCCACAACCCTTTTGAAAAGACATGAGGAGCAAGGTGCGCCCTCCTTCTTGTCTCAATGGTAGTCAAGAAAGACCTGAAGTACCATAAGCCTTCAGCTGAACCCTGAACCAGCCAACTGACAAACGTCGCCCTGCAAACCCTGTCCGAATGTTTGCGGGCGAGCGTGGGAGGGAAGACACATGGAGACACTAATTCATCGTGTTCAACCACCCGCCCGGCCAGATGTGCTGCTCCATCTCCACAGCGAAAGCTGTGCAATCCTGACAGCAAACTAAACGCTGCTCATGCTACACACAGCAACTCAAATCATCCCTTCAACAACTTCGACCACCTGGTTTGCACATGTTTGCATCACCGGCGCCCATCACTTTCTCCTCAGCCTCCAGACTCCAGAATAGAGTTGTTAGAGGGTTTTGGTAGATGCCCAGTGCTTTTACCCTTTTGATGGCCTACCTCCATCTCCGACCACGGAGCTTCCGCCGAACAACCCTCTTCAGGAGGCGAGCTTCAAATGCACGAGGCGCGCTGCATCCATGGCGATCGGCTGGGGGCCTGGTACGACACACACGTGGCCAAGTGGCTGGGATTGATGCAGATGAGCCGACGGCATATGAAACACCCGGCTGTGAACATGTTTTCCAGGATCCTCAAGGGGGCCAGGGTTTGATGAGTCTTCGACGGGACATCACCTTCAAATGTTGTCCAGATCCCTGCCTTCAAGCAAATCGACGATGAATCCAAGAGTGTCTCCAATGCCAAGTTTGGATGAGCGGCCTGGGTTTGTGTCATGGACTTGGAAGCTGTGCTTGTAGGCGACGGGAAAGCCATTGGATGAGTTGGAGGCCCTTTTCACGAAAGCTAGCCTTAGCTAGCTGGAGTTGCTCTTGCTTTAGCAAGTTAAGTGACGGGGTGGACGCACCTCAGAAACCTCAAATAATTGATTAAATCAATCTTATGGACCCCCCCCCCGCGGTTCGACTCCCCCCTGCGCGCGGTGAGCGGGACCACCAAGCAGCTGCAGCAAACCACAAAGGAGCAGCAGCAGCAGAAGCAGCAGACCCAGAGCAGCAGCAGCAGCAGCAGCAGCAGACCACCCAGCGCCAGCAGCAGCCGCAGACGACCCGGCGCCAGCAGAGCACCCAGCGCAGCAGCGCCCAGCGCAGCAGCGGCAGCAGCAGCAGCAGCACCAGCAGCAGCAGCAGCAGCAGACCACCCAGCAGCAGCAGCAGGAGCAGCAGCAGCAGCATACCAACCAGCGCCGCAGCAGCAGCAGCAGCAGAGCACCCACCGCCGCAGCAGCAGCAGCAGACCACCCAGCGCCAGCAGCAGCAGCAGCAGACGACCGGCGCCAGCAGAGCACCCAGCACAGCAGCGCGCATCCCTGACGACCAGACTCTCGTTCACCCCCTAGCTAGCTTTCGTTCACCCCCTCTGGCCTCAAGTCTAGGTTTGCTCCACTTGGTGCATTCTCCTGCATGCTGTTGTTAAATTGCATCCTGAAGCGGGTTGAATGGGGGATCCTCTATAATGAACTACCACCAAAACAAATCTGGGTTCCTAGGGATTCCTTTTGTAATTGATTGTAGTTAGTATTCATTTTCCTTTCTGAAGTTCTTTATCATTATGTATTCTTTGCAATCCTTTCATACTACTACATAAAGGATTGATTAAGGAATTGATGGCTTTGGGAAGCTGTGAGTTTTGAAGAAGAACTTGAGAAACCTATTCTTATCAGATCTTATCAATACTCTCAGCAAGCCAACCATTGGCTTAGTAGTAATTATATACTATGTGTTTTTCTTTCGGAAATATCCTTAGCCCTAAATATTGTTTAGAAGTAGGATCCCTCCAAAAATTAGCATAATAGAGGACCCTTAAAACAAACAGGGTGTCAAAAATTAGTTTTCAATAAGTTAGCATTATAGAGGGCCCTATTACTAATCAGTGTCCAACATTATAGAAGTAAGTACTCGGATATGCTCACCACCCTCTTTAGTGGTGAGGTGAACGTGCATCAACAAATCTTTGAAGCGCCCACCGAACCGCCCCGGCCTTTGCTCACAACTCCCTAAGGCTTTTCTTGGCCAACGCCCGACGCCCCACACCAAAAGATAGAATCAATAGATTCAGAATAGGAGTTGTACAGATTATTTTATATGGTAGTAAGAAGCTACTAGTAACAAGTGCATCGCTTCTAGTAACAAGTGCCTTACTAGTAGTAACAAGGACGCTACTAGGAACAAGAAGCTACCTGTTCTTCCTGTTGCTAATGTTCGTTCGACCTCCGGTGTCGAGAGTCGAAACCCATCGAGGTGTGAACCTCGAGAGCCTCCTCCCTTCCGTTGCTGGACCAAATAGAACAGTGGCCGTTTCGACGGTCTTTAGGTGGAGAAGGATGGATAAGGAACTGAAAAAGCTTTTGGACCTGGATCCCAAATGCAGGAATAGTTTTGGAATGCCAGTTGCACAGAAGGGATCAACAGCCCTCGAGAACAGGCACCCGGAGCGGACCCAAATTGAGTGGGTTTGACTGCCACCTGCCAGAACCACCATTTACAGCCCTAAGCCGGGAAAGTGATAGACATGAAAGCACGATATTTGAACTTTAGTGTGGGTTTCTGTGCTTGGACACAACGGGCCTTTTGTTCTTACACAATCCCGAGATGCTATGATGAACGTAGATGAACTTCAAGTCCAAAAACCATTTAAGCCTGGGTTGACCTACCAGGGATAGCATGGCCAAGAACTACGCAATAGACACATGCAGCGGTTGGAATATGAAAGCACGACATTTGCAAGTCTTGGCGGCTGTATAATGGGCAATGCTCCGCAGGGTTTGGGGATGTTGCAAATGTTAAAAAACAGGGTCCCCACCAATCACAGCAGCTCCCAGGTACTGTGATTCCATGGATATTTTTGACGGAAGATGAGAAGCTTGGCCGTAGAGGGGCGACCGGTTGTCATAGGGTAGCATTGCTTGACCCCTTGCGGAGAATTTGGAAAAAAGTACAGTATGTCAACTTGTTGTTTGTGAGCTTGAACGACTGGAAGCCCAAACTCCTGCTCCTACTTTGTTGGAAAGAGAATACTTAGACTCATAGACCGACCTTAAATTGTTTGCATGAAGCTATTTGTGCAGACCTTGGGGAAGCGTATATGAAGCTCTCAATTTGCACCTTTTGGATCTATACCCTTCTCCGCCATAGAACCTTGGTGCAGGTGCCACCGCAAACTCAGGCGTGCTGGTTGGTTGTTTATTCCGGCCTTCAGAGAAGGACAAACATGTTGCCTGCACGATGCTCTTTGAGAAGGTCATTTCCACTCATTGTGCTAAGCAGTCCGCAAAGCTGCCAAGTCCTGGCAGCATGGCATACCTCTCGGGCGCTGACTCCATTACAGAAAAATATAACATCTTAAGGAAGGAAATAACTGTTGAACAGATTGGACTTTCAAGATTTTTCAAGTGCTTAAACATCTTATAACATTCAGAGCTACTGAAGAGAGTGCTAGTGCGTTGCGGCATTGCCCTGGATTTCAATTGGCGACGAGTGGGTGAGGCATATATACCTTACGTACCATTGTGGGACAGGTCGTGGGTGCAAGGGCATGCTGGAGAAACAGCTGTTTGGTATGAAACGTGAGAAACAACACTGTAGGCTAGGTAGTCAATGAGTCCATCTAGTGGATGTTTGAGATTGTCCTCCCGTTGGAAGCGCCTCTTTTTTGCTTGAGGAAGCCACCGCCTGGCTCGATGCGCCCGCGGAGCGCTTTTGCCCGCGTGCGAAGCGTCTACGCCTGTCGCCGGGACCTGCAGCGGGCACAAAGCGCGGCGGAGGCGGCACGCGGGGCGCGCCCGCAGAGTGCGCCGCTGACGCAGACAGCCACGGCGCCCAGCTTGGATACTTTGGCAAGGTGACTGGGTCTTGACCTCTAAACGGATGAAGACTGCTGAGGTATGAGGTCAAGACCGGGCCCGTGGAAATTCGATTCAACACATTTGAGCAACCCAAGGGTGAGGCATTTTGACCTCCAACAAGGATGGTCCTACCTCACTCGAAGAGCAAGAGAGTCTGGCACTTGGAATGTCAAATCACCTCTACTGCACTACCTGTTAGCTGAAGATGCCGTACCTGGTACCGCACCTTCCTGACCTTTTGACCCCCGAAGTGCCAAGCTTCAACCAGTCATGTCGCCAGGTAGGGTTGTAGCACCCTTGAAGCCGGGGCTCCCCAAGGGACTCGGCTCTCAGGATGCTCGATGGGGAGATGTGGAAGATGTCCGTTTGGCCACAAAAACAACAACTCTTGGTTAAGCTCTTCAGTCTCCTTGCAGTTTCCGTGCATATGAATGCTAGAGTCATCGTGATGGGTTCTGCACTGGCCATGTTGATACCACCGCGAAGGAAGCTGGTGACCCTACCCAACCTCCCAACTGGGAGCCACCAAGCAGCGCAGTCCAACGTGTTTCACCACCGTGGTGCCAAATCGTGCGCGACCAAAAAGCTGGTACCTCAGCTGAATGGGCCTGGGAGCCCGTTCAGTGAGACGTCCTAGGAGGGACCTCTCGAATGACAAGTTGGTGTTCAAGGGGTGAGATGCCCGCTCAAGCTGACAGACTGCAAACCCTAAACCAGAGTTTCTGGGAGGGTGCTTGAGTGGGTGCTTGGTGTAGGCCCAAGGGGTTGCGATTGTTTAGCTTGGTCAGATTGGCGCAAATATCAAGCTTGGCAGTGCGTGCGCTCAACATGTGTTTCGTTCGGGCCTTGAACGCCTTGAAGCTGTTGTGGTTGAGTCACTCCGCCAAATCAAACCAAACAACTCAAGACATGATTTCCAAAACAATGTAACAGTTGATATATGTGTATATATTTTTTTAACTATACAAATACTGTATTGTTTAATAGTGCATATACTGTAACTAACATAACATGTCTATAATGATTAGGATGACCATTATTTGGCGTGTTATTTTACAATCTTCCGCCATTACTCGTTTCGTGAGTGCCTTCTGACTGTTTGACCTTAAATGCTGGATTGGCGGAAGCCTACTTACAGGGGTGCTATCATTCCATGGTGTTTCATACCGTCTTACTGGTACATTGAAACAGTTTGCACATGGAAGCCAGCACCTTTGCCTGGTGGCAAGCCATGCTGCAGTTAAGTTCCACATTGAAAGGTTTAGCCCAATAAGACGATCTCTAAAGAGGACTGTTGTTGGCCGCCCCGGAGCACTCGGACAAGTGATCCGTATAGGTGCCGCATGGTGTATGGAAGATGGACTGAACAGAGCCATGTACTGCAATATTCTTTGGACGCACATGTTGGCAATTTTTGACTTTGTGCAAATACACCAGCCTGATCCAAACACATTTGCCCACAGACAGAACTTGGAACTGGTGTCACGCAGGAGTTTCAGCAATGTGCAGCTGATTTACGCTTCCAGACGTGCTTTAAGAAGCTTGGGCCCCTTGGATGATGAGAACTTGTTGTGAAGAACAGAGTGTGCATCAGGTGTGGGCCATCCTGGCATGCCATGCCCCGAGCAGGCAGACCAATACACGATAATTTCTGTTCAGTTTCTGTTCATGTTTGTGTTTGTTCGAAATTTGCATCAGCTACTCGCGAACATTGATAGTCATTGATTAACCTACTTTCGGGACAGGTGCAAGATGGCAGCCACCTGGCAGGGTATGTGACCCACATGTGGTTTGGAACCAGGTGTATCAACAGCGGCTTGGATGAGTTTCGAACTGCACAAACGTCACGCGACCAAGGATTGCCTTAGACACCGAAGCAGACTTGAAGAACGTCTTCCACATGTCACTTGGGCCTTAGTGCCTTTGGGCGCCCTAGGAGCGACTACCTGTGACTACCTTTGGCTACCTGATAGAAATTATGAAGATTCTTTAAACGTGTCTTATAGATGGATTCATTTCAGTTCACTGCCCCTCAAATGGTCCTGTTGACCATTTGCGTCAGCTACTAGGGGGTCATCCAAACGGTGGTTCGGGCACTCACCGTCTTTACACAGTTCCGTTGCTGTGTGAGGATGGTCGTGCCTCACAAAGCTTTGGGCTCATAGAGTCATAGAGGAGTGTTTTCTTAGATTTGGTGAGGTGGCAGTAGTTCAGCAGGTAATGAACCTCAGCCTTATGCGGTGAGGCTGGACTTCCAGAACAATGGCAGCGTTTCAGTGGAGGCCCGCCTTTGCTTGCACCTGGGTGGTGTGCCAAATTCTCAGGGATTGTCCCGCCAAATCAATGCCCGTGCCCAGCTCCATTGTTTGGTGGCGTTTCGCCACGACTTTATCGGTTATTAGTCACCACTGACGATTTCATCGTTTCCACCTGTAGCAGACATTTGCTTTTTCTGAGCCACGCCGGTGATGGGTGCAGTCCTAGTGCCAGGAGTTTGCGCTGGGCATCCAGATGTTCAGCGGTGGCGCGAAAAGCATCGACGTGGCCAGGTGGGGACAAGACCCGGGCTGGGTGATCGGAGTATTGTCAGGGGAAGAGCAGGGGAAGAGGTGGCAAATGTGGCAGAGCGCTGGCCACCACTGCGAGGGTCGCTACAGCCTTGATGATCTTTGTGCATGTCGTAGTCTTTGGGGCTCCATGTGTTTCGATATGAGTCGCACAGGACGTGTCCCACGAATGATTCTGCTCCTGAACAGCCACAAACCCCATAACTTCACACCATCTCATGACAAACTCCGCAACGAACATGGCATGACATGTTGCGAAGGCTGGTTCAGTTCTTTGCAGCATTTTAGATCACCCTCTCGTCTTTGCGTCGCACACAGCGGAAGCTTCGACACCGATGTGAGTGGTGGCTGGTGCGACCGACCCATGCGGCCGACCCATGCAGGTTGATGTTCGAAGTGACCACCATTAAGAAGTACATGACCGACATGTATGACGCCCGAAGGCCCAGGATTTGGAGAACAGGTTACTGAAGACTCTTGACCCTTCGACCCTTCGACCTCAGCCGTTCCCTGAGGAGTTGGACGATTAGGAAAGGGGGGTGCACAGATTCGCACTGGTTGTTTCATGCTTGTGGTTGCAGTGGTGCTGGGCTGGTGCTTGTGCTGGTGCTGGTGCTCGTGCTGGTGGTTGCGGCTTTTTAGGGATTTTTCTTAGCACAGTTCCACCCATTAGTGAGGGGACTCCTCTACCAACCATGTGAAGAGGATGCCTGTACAGACTAGTTTGGATCCAGGATTAGGATGGTCCAGGATGGGCCCCCTATTTGCATCCGTTGCCGGTCGCTGCCATTTGGGGCTCAAAGGCAGGCCTCAAAAAGTCACTCTGAGAGAGACATGAGGTGGTTCTGATTCTCAGGCCTTGCACATGGCGATGTTGGCCACTTGGGCCTTCTGCTTGCTTACGTGTTCACTCGCGGTCCGTGACTTGGAGGGATCTTTGAATCTTCCAGTGAGTGGAACCTTGTGAGCTGCAGTTTTCTGTTGTTTTGCGTTCTTCAAGTCGACGGCATCATATCACATCTAAATATGTATATATAGTTATATATAGAATATATATATATATATATGATAAACTACAGTAATTGTTCAATGTACCATTGGACATGGTGTAGTCGCCACGTTTATGAAAAAAGAAAGGGTCCGGTCCGATGGGTAATCGTCAACCGGTCAAAGGTCCTGTGCGTTCGTTCACCTTGGACTCATCCGAGCCGACGAGGCGAGGAGCTGGTCGTGGACTCAGTGGATGCAAGAAGGGCCACCGAGACTTGGCTGATGATGAGGGTTTCATAGGGTTTTTGGTGAGAAAGAAGTGACAAGCCAGTCTAAGGGTTGTTGGCCACTCTAGCTGAAGTTCTGAATGGCTTTTTGATGCTTTTTGCACAAAAGAAAGGCAGCAGATGTTGCCATGTTGCTTGGTCTTGACAGAGGTCCGTGAGAAGTGACGGCGACAGGGGGAGCCCCACATGTCCTTCAAGCGAAGTGTTTCTCATTTGCTGCGCAGTCCACATGCAAAATGCTACTGGCCCTGTTGCGAGCCTCGTTCCTACGAGCTTGCTCACAATCACTTTGACCGCAACAAACAAACAGGTAAAACAGCACCAACATCCATTGACATTGAATAGTTTGGGACCTCGAAATAACAAGGGTTCACATAGCCGACGCACACAGATCTTTCCAAGGCAGCGCAACTGCGGACAGTCCCTGTCCAAGTCAATGTGGCCCTGCGAAAGGCCAAGGGCCGAGTCGCCCGGCATGTGACGCCTGGTGAAGAAGCAGCTTCTTTGGACGTTGAACAGGTGATCAATTGACGTAGGCACCCTTTCCAAAGCCCATTAGGCACCTTTGACTCTGTGACATGCTTGGTTCTCTTTTAAAGGGCGGTGCATCTGTCGAAACCTGAGTCCTAGGCATTTCTTATCATTTCTTCCTTCGAGATCCGTCAGGAGTCCTAAGATCATACAATTTACTAAAATTAGACAGCGGGGACACAGTTTACCAAGCACGAGAAGCAAGGCCTTTGCCCTGCCCATCCAAATTTCATTCACTGTATGGTTGTGCTTGCCCTCAGGATAGTCTTGAAAGAGCACTTGAGGGAATTGGCAGCAAAGAAGAATGCTGCAGAAGAAGCTAAAAGGAAGAAGAAAAAGACCTTAGAGGCTCGGGCTTTGGCATGCAGAACCTTGCGTTCCTGGCAGAACCAAAGAGTTCTCCTGAAGCGGGGTCCGTCCGCTTTGTGCAGATATGTTGAAGTAATGATATGTTCAGTTGGGGAATTCTCTGTGGATCCATGTGCTCCATCATTTGGCTTCTGCTGGAGCACCAAGTGCTCCGCTTGATACACATGGGTGATATTGTGGTGTGCTCGATTGTTTGAAGGAAGTTGTAGGTGCTCAAACTACTATTATATATGTTTACATATGTTCATGGAGGATGGTCGAGTTTCCAGATGCTGCAAGTTTGGAGCAGCACTACCTCCCCCTCAAAGACTCCTTTTGGGGAGCTAGACTGATCTTTTTGCCGCCTCTTTTTGACCTACTGTACCTATTTGACCCTCATTGGAAGAACTAGTTGGAGCCAGGCCATCGAGTCACACACGGCAGCCTTTGGCCGCCATGCGGCACGCACGCGAGAGAGCTTAGCTGCGCTGGAGGAGGCGTTGGCCTCCCACGACGATGCTGGGACCGGTCAGCTGGGGTGGCTGGGGTGCCAGTGTTTCATGTATTTGGGAGATGTTGGGAGTGGGGAACGGTGGTCTCTCAAAAAAAGGAGTGCAGTGTAGTGGTGTACGATCAAGTCTGTTGTGTCATTGGGCAGCTAGCACTTGCAGTGGAATAGTCCTGAAACAGTGTATGGAGCGTATGAATCCAAAAGAGGCACCTGTGGATTTGTAATGATACCAAAGCATACCTGTCATAAAGAGTGTTGTACTATATTGTACTGTTTTGTTGCTTTCGATCCACGTGCTGTGTCATTTCCACATGTTTTGTGAGCAAGTCCTACACGCAAGTCGCACAATGTAGTTGTAATGGCCAGTCACCCCGGCTTAAGGAGAAGGGTCTTCAACTGAAGAAGGCGAAGGACCAGTGGAAGGACTTGGATGGCCAGGTCCGGTTCTGGAGTGAAAGCTGGCGTGGATGTGTTCATGCGTTTGGACCCATTGGTCGTTTTTCAGGCAGGGTCATCCCCAGCTATTAGCCATGCCATGCTATTCATAGTGACTCATAGTGCTTCACCCTTAATTCCATTGGTGGAAAGCAGGGCTTGTTTGAGGCATCAGCTTGGTGACCACTTAGGGATGATTTTGGGATCACCTGATGTTTGGGCTTATTTTTGATCGACTATGTTCAACTTCAAAGGCTGGGCATGCAAGTGAGTATGCAAAGACAATGCCCGGTCTCCAAAGCAAAAGACGCGACCCGCTTCAACAAGTCTTGGTGAATCACACCCATTTGGACGCTTGCAGAAGTGACTGCCAGGTCCAAGTCCTAGAGGGGGAACTGACGAAGGCCAAAGAAAGGGCAGAGGCCAAAATGGAAGAGATGACGGAGCAGCTGCACCTCAACTGGAACAGTTGGCGTAGTTGATGCAAAGAAGTTCACAAAAGGGGAAAAGGGTCATGATGTTCTGTGGCGCATGAAATAGGATCACACATGCGAGTTCGAGTGGCAGGATTTCCAAGACCATCGTCATATATACTATATGTACATAATATCATATGCAAATATATGCACCCTACACCTTGCTTGAGATGCAGCTCTGAAGTTTTAGAGTAGGGCAATACCCTGACCTTCTACGTCCACTGAGGCAAGCCCAAGAAGCTCAAGTTGAAAAGGTGAAGGCCTTCGGGGAGGGGCCTCGTTGAGACGCATCAATGTATTCCATTTCTTTCGCCTCGTTTGTCCTTGTTTCCTTGGTGAGTCTAGGTATATACTCATTGAGTTGATGCCCGTAGCGGGGGTCCTGTGTGTTGACTGACAACCGGCCACCGAGGTCATACAAGTGGTTACTGCTTGGTTTACTTTTGGTTGCCAATTTGCATAAGTCCCTGCGTTTTATTCGTAACCCTGTGCTTAAGAAACGGTGGTTTTGGAGGCTTCTTTTTTGTACCAGAATTGCACAATGCCAGCCAGTGACCCTTTGAGGCAGTTGTGCTCTTGATCACGAAAGTCCCAAATCACAGGGAGACCCTGTGATTAAGTTTTTTTAAAGGTCAAATTCAACCATGAACGGGTGAATCCTTGCAACAACCATCGAAATTGAGCATGTAAGTTACAATCTACAAACTTTACTGTAAACGTCGCGGATTTTCTGACTGCCCCTGCACAGAGTCCCCTTTATCAAACAAATCTTGGGCATGGCATCACAAGGTCCAAGCAGCCACTGCCAATCACAACAAGTGGAAATCTGCCCTTTTCATTGATATGGACTATATGGAACAAGTGGCGCTATTGAGCACTACCATAGCCAAAGGCCAAGGCAAAAAAGGCAACAAGCTGAAGAATCTTTGCTGAATTTGTAGTGGGCCCGATTCTGTTTGTTTAATTCGCAGGGTTTAATCCTTAAATGCAAGGTTGATTCCTTAATGCAGGTTAATCAATACTTTGCAGAAACTAGGGGACATCTTTTTCCAAAAACCTCAAATACAACATGTACCCTGTATTTAAGAAAAGAATCAACACTGCCATTAAGAATTCAACCCTGCGATTAAGGAATCAACCCTGCTATTAAGGAATCAAACCTGCGATTGAGGAATCAACCAAGCGTTTAAGCAAATAGAATCGGGTTCACTCAAATTCGCAATCGGTACTCAGACTTGCCTTCAGCAAGGGAAGGGGTAGTGGGGCCCCGGTCCCTCATATCATGTTGATGATGTGCAGAACGACCTTCCCTTTACAAATCATGAATAATACTTAAGAAAACATCAGCCGTTCCGTGGTTCCAGGCCCCGCTTGTGCCTTCGGGTAGTTGAGCAAGAAAAAACACATTGCCCCATTTGGTTTGAAAGGCTGGACATTGATGTTTTTTCTCCCTCTACGTCCCCTTGATGTTCCTTTTGCGAGCGGTGTACTTTACAGACTTTTGATGTTGCTAACTGAAGTTGCCTGTTTGAAAAACGATAAATCACAGGCCCCTTTCTTAAATGCAGACTTCAGCCCTTACTTATGCAAATTAGCACTTTTGGTGTTCAGAATTGATCCCAAGATTTGGCGTGGCTGGAAGCTGCCCAATGATCAGAAGTGAGCGCATTTGTGCTCAGCTCTCGGACTTTTGAGAAAGAGAGGGTCCCAAGTCGCCAAGTCAGCCAGCAGGCATACAAGCTGGCTGCTTTGTAGCGCTTGTGCAGTGTTCTGCATTTTCAACCCCTTGCAAGAGATAGCTGTAGGCCAAGGAATGACGTCCCACGGATTGTTCCATGTTTCCATATGTTTCCATTCTTAGGCCCTGGAGATCACACGCAACCGCCAGACGTGGGCTGCTCGGTGAGGAATTCGTTGAAACGTTCAACCCACACCAGGCCGAGCGGGATGAGGCCGAGAAGGCGATGGAGGAAAAGGATTTGGAGCTTCAGAAGGCCATGGGAGTTGATGTTTGGACGAGTTTCCTGTACACCTTTTTGCTCGGGAAGAAGACGAGTAGATGCAAGTAGACCAGCTTTTCTTTGGGGCATTTGGCTTCACTGCTGGAGCCGCCTCTGCATTGTTGTTGAGTGTTCTCGGCCGCTCGGGGTGTGTGACCAGTCTAGTTAGTGAGCTCACGACACTTGTGGAGCGCGGTAGCGACGACGAATCCATTGATTTGGTGGGTTGTTCTCACCTTGCCAAATGTCAGGAGTTACGAGTTCCATGAACCTTGGGACCTTCACTGCTCGTTAAGTAAGTAATTTAGGCCACGTGGCCACGCCTTTAAGCGCTGTTTTTGAGTGAGCGACAGTTAAGCTAAGCTGCAAAACCGCAGTTCGATTGCAGGCGAAGACTTGGAGAGGGCAAATGCTTGAGGCCCACGACAAAGCGGAGGCAGAGATGCACGCAGCTCGAACCTTGTAACGAATCTATTTGAGACCGCGTCCCTTTTTATATAGTATTATAGCGTAGATGTCCTCGCGTTCACCTTACTTTGTTTGAATCTAGTAATTGCCGTAGGTCTCCGTAGGCGTTGCTTCCTGGCCGCCAGCATGAACCACTGTTTTTACGTTAACTGATTCACGGCAGCTCCAGCATTGATTCATCATTATATGTTAATGTAGTGCAAGTGCAATTGTTCCTGTGGTGTGTCAGCGATGTTGAATCGTTCTGTCAGTGTGGGTCAAGGGGGTTTCAATGCTGTGCCACAAGAAACTCAATCAAAAGCCCAGCTAAGCTCCGGCCAGCCACCCGGGCCAGCCGTGCTGACGTGGGGAAGATGCGGTTGCCAGCTGCGGGTTTGCGGTGTGATCAGCTCTCTTGCTGAGAACCTCCCCACATACACCCCAGAAAAGTCCTCCCAAAACCATGAAAGGTTTGAGAACATTTGAGGGCCCAATCAGAGGTTGAACTCTGATGTGGCAGGTCTGGTCCTTTGCAAGTCAGGCCCCGGTAGCGATGATTCATGGTAACCGATGGTCACTTTGTTTCGCATTGTTTCAGGCAAAATGGTGAACCGTCACTGGTTGTCACTATCAATCACGCCCAGAGATGCTTAATCGGACAAAGCTGCAAGACCAAGCTTCTTTGTTAAGGAAAAGCCTTGGATGATCACCAGAAGCAACTGGACAACGCTGCTCCTTGGATCGCGATCAATGACCCGGGCCTGATTTGGATACGCGAGCATTTGTGGGGTGGGAAGCTACTGCGGTAGGAACTCCAAATGTGCAAACTGCATGTTCCCTTTTGGACACTTCAGAACTGAGTTGACCTGCCAACTGGTGTCTAATTATTTTGGGAGGTTTGACTTGGTAGTGCTCTCATGCCCCACTCCCCCTCTCTCTCTCTCTCTGTCTTTCTCAGGCCAACCGACGCGACCAGTCGGATTACCCGGGGAAGCTCATTGGAGCTTATTTAAAGGCTTCGCCTGACAGCCGGGCGCCGGCCATCTTGGGGCTATGTTGGCCCATCCTGGGGCTATGTTGGGCATATGGGCCTATGTTGGCCTATCTTGGGCCCACGTTGGCCCAGCTAGGGCCCATGTTGGACCATCTTGGGCCCATCTTGAGCCTATCTCCCACGTTGAGCCCGTCTTGTAGCCCATCTTGGGCCTATGTTGGGGACCTCCATCGGCTCATCTTTGGGCACATTTTGTGCCATTTATGTTGACACGAGCCCATCACCCCAAAAATGCTGATTACGCATGTCCGCGCGGCGCGCATTACCGACACCA